ACTCCACGGTCTGAGGGGAAGGTTCCTAGCCGTCTAGCTCTTGGCAGTCGTGGAGCCTATAATGGTCGAGGTTGGGGGTCCCCAGGGCGGCCCAAAAAGAAGCATACAGGTACGACAACCTATGGGATGGCACGGAGGGAATGCTGGTCCTGAAGGCTGGAGACTGACTTCAGGTACTCCTGATTTCTGAGACTGATTCATTTTGGGGGTACTAGGCATGGCCAGCATTGACAGCAGCGCCCCTGAAACTACATCGGACAGCTCTCCTACCTTAAGCCGAAGGCCACTTCGAGGGGGCTGGGCCCCTACTTCCTGGGGTCGAGGACAAGACAGTGACAGCATTAGCAGCTCTTCCTCAGACTCCCTGGGTTCCTCATCCTCTAGTGGAAGCCGTCGGGCTAGTGCCAGTGGAGGGGCCCGGGCAAAGACAGTTGAAGTTGGCAGGTCAGTAGGGAGAAATACCCATCTCTAATCTTGCACTTTCTCAAAACCAATTCCTATTGTGACCCAGCTGTTGTCCCCTAACAGCTCTACTTACCCAGGTCTCTCCTAACCTACTTGGACGCTATTTTGAAGAAACTCCAACCCTGTCAATAACCCATTGCTCCATCAGGTGTTACAAGGGCCGTCGCCCGGAGAGTCATGCCCCCCATGTACCCAATCAGCCATCAGAGGCAGCTGCACACTTCTACTTCGAATTGGCAAAGACAGTTCTGATCAAGGCAGGGGGCAACAGCAGCACTTCCATTTTCACACATCCATCTTCCTCAGGAGGCCACCAGGGTCCTCATCGCAACCTGCACCTTTGCGCCTTTGAGATTGGGCTTTATGCCCTTGGCCTACACAATTTTGTTTCTCCTAACTGGCTCTCTCGTACCTATTCTTCCCATGTATCCTGGATTACAGGTAAGTCCAATGTCCTGATTTGCATACAGGATGGAGATGAATTGGAAGCAAGGGTCTTGTCTTTGTGACATTGCTGATCTGATGTAAGATATCATCCCCAGACCTCCATTGGGGCCCACTTTGCTCCTTTTTCTTTTCCCTAAAGGGCAGGCAATGGAGATTGGCAGTGCAGCCCTGACTATACTGGTAGAATGCTGGGATGGGCACCTGACACCCCCTGAGGTTGCATCACTGGCTGATAGAGCATCACGGGCACGAGACTCCAACATGGTGAGGGCAGCGGCAGAGCTGGCTCTAAGCTGCCTGCCTCATGCCCATGCACTGAACCCCAATGAAATTCAACGAGCCTTGGTGCAGTGCAAGGAACAGGTACTTCTGCTCTCAGCTGTCTGCGCACGGGGAAACTTAAGGGCTGAGCATTTCTTCTATCAAAATTGTGTGTATGTGAAGGTCAGAGGATAGCTTTTGGGAGTTTTTTCCTTAGATCTTGTGGGTTCTAGGAATCACTCAAGTTGTCAGGCTTGACAGCAAGTGCCTTTACCTACTAGCTATCTTGCAGTCATTCTTCCCCCTCCTTCCTTCCTAGAGGCCTAAGTTGCCTAGGATGGGCTTGAACTCACAGTTGTGCTCCAGCCTTCTTACAGTAGCTGGGACATGCCATTATTTTGGGGTTAGGGACCCTCTCTTGATTTTCCCCATATTTAGTTAGGAGTTTGTGAAGTATCTAATTTTTCTCTCATTGTAACATTTCACATATTGTAAATTGAGTATCTGTTAGGTTTTGGAATATTTTCCAGTCCATGGGCTATCTTGAGGATGGGACCCAAATCTAATTATGAATTTAATATTTTATGTATTAATTATACCAACAGCCTAGAGATAATCTTGTGTCTCTTGCCGGGCAATGGTGGCGCACGCCTTTAATCCCAGCACTCGGGAGGCAGAGGCAGGCGGATCTCTGTGAGTTCGAGGCCAGCCTGGTCTACAAGAGCTAGTTCCAGGACAGGCTCCAAAACCACAGAGAAACCCTGTCTCGAAAAACCAAAAAAAAACCAAAAAAACAAAAAAAAAAAACAACCAAAAAACAAAAAAAACTTGTGTCTCTCTTGCCCTCTTTGTCTCCAATGTATGTATGTACGATACAATGTATGTATATGTATGTATGGGGAATAAAATTCAGGGCTTCATACAGACTTGGCAAGCAACCGACTTACAGTCTCCATGTAAGTCTCATGTATGCATGAGCACATATTTCATGGTATTTTCCACTTGAGGTGGTATCACATTAGTGTTCAAAATGTTTCTGATTTTAGTATTTCTATTTTTCAAATTAGTGTTATTCAATCCAATAATATAAATTCACATTTTCACCCTTTACACTATGTTATAATCCTACAGTTAGGGTTATTCCCTTCATACACAAAGATACAGAGGCTTGCATTTAGGGACCAGGATGTTCCCTGAGGATGGCCTTATAGAAATGAGCTTTGTTCAGTGTCTGTGTGAAGCACTCACTACTGATACTGAGCACTGACCCTGATTTCTGATGCCCCCCTCAACTAGCCATCATTCCTGGGTAAGCCCTTTACCCCTAACGCTCTGTGCTCCTTTCCAGGATAACCTGATGTTGGAGAAGGCCTGTATGGCAGTGGAAGAGGCAGCCAAGGGTGGGGGTGTGTACCCTGAAGTGCTGTTCGAGGTTGCGCATCAGTGGTTCTGGCTCTATGAACAGACAGCAGGAGGCTCATCCACTGCCCGTGAAGGGGCTACAAGCTGTAGTGGCAGTGGGATGAGGGCTGCTGGGGAGGCTGGGCGGGTGCTGCCCGAGGGCAGGGGGGCCCCTGGGACTGAACCTGTTTCAGTGGCTGCAGCAGCAGTGACAGCAGCAGCCACAGTGGTTCCAGTCATCTCAGTGGGATCCAGTTTATATCCAGGTCCAGGACTGGGGCATGGTCATTCCCCTGGCCTGCACCCCTACACTGCTCTACAGCCCCACCTGCCCTGCAGCCCTCAGTACCTCACCCACCCAGCTCACCCTGCCCACCCTATGCCTCATATGCCCCGGCCTGCCGTCTTCCCTGTGCCCGGCTCTGCATACCCACAGGTGAGACTGGTGTTTTGTTGACTGTGTGGTGGTGGGAGAGCACAAGGAATTCGTAGGGTTGGAGTAGAGTACTTTGGGAGTATAGTAGGGCTGTCCAGGAGTTCGGAAGAGGTGTGTGTAGGGGAACCGAGGCTGCTAAGAAATGTCACGACATAACTTGGTATCTGTTCTTTTCCCTATCCATATAGGGTGTGCATCCTGCATTCCTGGGGGCTCAGTACCCCTACTCAGTGACTCCTCCCTCAATTGCTGCCACTGCAGTATCCTTCCCTGTCCCTTCCATGGCTCCCATCACAGTTCATCCCTACCACACAGAGCCAGGACTCCCACTGCCAACCAGTGTGGCTTGTGAGTTTCGGGGACAGGGAGCAGGTGAATGGAGGGGAGGTGGCACACTGGGCATGGGAGGAAGGAAGGAAATCTCTGGACATCTTCTCTCACAGTGAGCAGTGTCCATCCAGCATCCACATTTCCAGCCATCCAGGGTGCCTCACTGCCTGCTCTGACCACGCAGCCCAGCCCTCTGGTAAGCGGAGGTTTTCCACCACCCGAGGAAGAGACACACAGTCAACCAGTCAATCCACATAGCCTGCACCATCTGCATGCCGCTTACCGTGTTGGTAAGAAGTCCCTTTCTGTACTCTACCAACAGCTGGGGGAGGGGCTCTCTTCAGTGGATTCCCTCTATAGCTCTCAGTTTGTTTACTATGGGCCAGGTTCCTGCTGGGGTAGAAGGTGGAGGATATATCCCATTGTGTGCCCATCTGTTTCCTAGGAATGCTGGCACTTGAGATGCTGGGTCGCCGGGCACACAACGATCACCCCAACAACTTCTCCCGCTCCCCCCCCTACACTGATGATGTCAAATGGTTGCTGGGGCTGGCAGCAAAGCTGGGTAACACCTCCCCTCCCCAGGACCATTGTCCCCCGACCTGATTCCCTACCATCCTATCCCAGACCTCCTTCCTAGCTCTTGCTCAGAGTTGAGGCCTTGGTCGGGTATGTGTGCAAGTGCGGGGGTGGAGGGTTACCTCAGCTCCTGGGGTGGAGGGAGGCTCTCTGTGAGGCCAGAGCTGAGATATATAAGTGGGTCCCTAGGGCAGAGGTGGCCACCCCCGTCTCATGCCCCTCCCCCTGCCCCCCAGGAGTGAACTACGTGCACCAGTTCTGTGTGGGGGCAGCCAAGGGGGTGCTGAGCCCGTTTGTGCTGCAGGAGATCGTCATGGAGACGCTGCAGCGGCTGAACCCCATTCATGCCCACAACCATCTTCGAGCCCCGGCCTTCCACCAACTGGTGCAGCGCTGTCAGCAGGCATACATGCAGGTGATAACTCAGGAAATATGGAGCATGTTCAGGGAGGTGGGCCCAAGTTGTGTACGCTTTGTGCTGAGATCTCCTCAACCCACCCTCCAGTACATCCATCACCGCTTAATTCACCTGACCCCTGCCGACTACGACGACTTTGTGAATGCGATCCGCAGCGCCCGCAGCGCCTTCTGCCTGACACCCATGGGCATGATGCAGTTCAACGACATCCTACAGAACCTCAAGCGCAGCAAGCAGACCAAGGAGCTGTGGCAGCGGGTCTCTCTAGAGATAACCACTTTCTCCCCTTGAGTCTGGCCCCTACAGGGCCCTATATAGGGACACAGGCCTGTGGCTATGGGGGCCCCTCACACAGAGGGAGTGACTCTTGGCCGGACAGGTCATCCCCACTCAATTCCCTGATAGCCCAGACTGGCAGCTGCTCTTGGGCTGTAGCTTGGGGCCAAGATGTCTCAGACATTCGAAGCCTAGGGCTGGGAGAGACAGCCTTGTCTGGGAGAGGGCGTTGGGTGGCCTCTGGTATTTATTTGGCATTTATAAATATATAAACTCCTTTTTTACTCTGTTTTTGGGTCCTTCCCTTCTTTGTGTAGAAGAGCTGTGGAAAGTCAGTTGGTACCTGCTATATTCTAGGTGGTTCACTTCACTGAAGCAGACAAAACAGAAAAATAAGGATGTTTATTAAGGACATTTCTAGCCCACAGCTAGGGCTCATATTCAGCTCTATGAGCAATTGTCCGACCTCATCCCCATTCAATGTGAATGACACTAGGGAGGCCAGGCCACAGGTAGATCCCACTGTCTGATTAAAGGGGCCTTAGCAAAGGGCCCTCTCGTGGGTAGGCATAGACACACAAGCTGCTGGGGACGAAGAGGGAAATAATGAATTAATACATTCTTCTACCCCCTCCCTGGACCCTCTCTTCCTCACCTCCCAGGTTCATAGGTCAAAGGTACCTAGTACCATAACAGGGTACCAAGGGAAAGGCCCTTTTTTTAGGCCCCCAAACTATGTCAAAGGAATGGATGCCCTTCCCTTTCCAGCTATTCCAATCCTGGGGGCCACTGAGGTAGAGGGGTAAGGGGCCAGGCCACTCTAATCCCCCTTTTGGGCCCTGTTCTAAGGCTTGCCCCTCAGTGAAGCAGCAGGCTTTTTGCTGGTATGAGAAGGCTGGGGCATCAGCCCACACTGGAATGCTGCAATTCTTCCCGAAGCCACAAGGGGGCTGGCTGTCCAAGCCGGCTCAGCAGCTTTGATAGTTCCAAATTATGGTTCCGGAAAATATCCGTAAGGAAAAGGCGAGACTGATGGGAGAAAACGTGAGAGGAGAAACAAACAGTAAAGAGTGCAGCAAGATCAGACCTGGAGGTGGAGCGGCAACCTTGTCTCAGGTCTCACTCACCTCCGTGTCCATGTCGGGGTACCTCCGGCCTTTACTTTTCCCTAGACAGCGAGTCTTACCACCTTCAAGTCCCTGGCACCAAAATCCTTTATCTTCATCAAACCTGCTCAAAGGAACAGCGCATTAGGTGTCAGGGAGGAAAAAAAATCAAGCCCCACAAATGCACCCTACCTCTCCCAGCCCACAGGGAGAGATGTCTCTTCCAAACAATCCCCTTCTTTCCCCACAAAAACTTCTTCCTCTTGGACCATGCTCTCCCACCTGAGGGTCCTTGTGTAGTTGAGAAAAGGGGTGATACCCAGGAACTTCTGGATGGTCTCCATCGAGGCTGCTGGGTTGATACGAAGCTCCTGCCCATCCACAATCAGCAACTGAAGGGACAGGGATGTGGTTCCCTCCATATTCCTAAGGCAGGGCTGAAGGGAGGGGACCCTAACAAAGGGTCTTGGGGGAACTGTACCTGTCCAGAGGGATAGTAAGTCAGCCAGCGCTGCAGGTGGGTAGAATAGTAGCCAGGGACAAGACAACGGCTCTGCAAGGAGCGAAGTACCAGAGGGGCCTGAGAAGAAGCTGAAATCACTTGGTAGAAGGTATAGTTCAAAGCGACTGGGTCTCCATGTGCTCTCTGGTGCTGCAGGACCAAGGACAAGAAGGGACAGGGCTGTGATCTGACAGTATTATACTGGCCATATTCTTGTCTGGTGACAATAGCAAAGCTACCCCTCCTTAAGGGACCAGTTTAATTTCCCTACCCTCATTCCTTTCTGTGTCTCTAGCAGTTATACCTTCTCCACCTTTCCCTTAAGGCCTAGTGGTCCCTAGCTTCAGGCAAACCTGGTACCAGGAGTAGGCCCTGTCAGCAGGGTTGGTGAGGACAGTGATGATCTTGGCTCTTGGTAGAAGGGCAGCCCCCCGCCGTGGTACAACCTCTGAGTCAAAGTAGGTGGCACTTTTTTCAAAGAGGAAGTCAGTGCTGGCATTGGAAGGAACAGGAAAGAAGTCCATGTACCTATAGAAGTAGCATAGAAAAAAGAAACATTTCAGTGGCAAGGCCAGATGTTTGTGTGCTGGCAGAAGCTGGAATGGGTTATTTTTTGGAGAAGGCCATGTTGCTCTGAGAAACACTCAAGGGGACCCAGTCTCACCAGTCGATACCCTTGTGGTAATTAGGGCCACTGAAGAACTGAATTTCCTCAAAGGTGCTGGGGCTAGGAAAGCTGCTTGTCACAGCGGGGTGCAGGCTCAGGAAGAAGTGCACAGCTGTGGTGCCTGCATGGAAGACAAGGACCAGCCTGTGCAGGAAAGCAGCTAGCTCAACAGCATCAGTTTGAAGGAACTAAGAAAACACTCCCTTCAGCCAGAGTAAAGTAAGAGAAGAAAACCCTGAGGGAGGCCCAGGAATGGGTTAAAAAACAGTGGCTTTTGCCTTCCACTTTATCAGAACCACTTGTAGCTCCCCTCCCCGTCCCTAGTACTCAGGCCTGAATCTAGAGCCCCCACGTGGGGAATACTCTTCCACAGACCTCTGCTTTTCTGATTTTGAGATTAGGTCTTACTAAGTGGCCCAGACTTCCATGAATACACGCTGTCTCTGCCTCCTAAACTGCTGGAATCACAAGCCTGTACAGCCAAGGCTGGCTATTTAATACACTTTTAAGACAGGATCTTATGTAGCCCAGGCTGGCCTCAAACTTGCTTTATAGCCAAGGATGGCTTTGAATTTCTGATCTTGCCTGTTCCACCAGACTGGCTTTTATGCTGGGGCTGAAACCCAGGGCTTAGCGCAGGCTCAGCACACATCCCAGCCCCTCTTTCTCTCTTTTAAATTCTATAGACAAGCCAGGTATGGTGGCTTACGCATGTAATCCCAGCACTTTAAAAACTAAAGCAAAGAGATCAGGGTGCACTCAGGGTTGGCCTGGGTGATATGAGACCCTGTCTCAAAAAAACTAAACAAAAAAAAAAAAAATTCCACATATGGGAGCTAGAGAGGTATAGTGGTATCCTGTGTAAGGCCCTGGGTTCAACTCTCAGAACACTAAAGGAGAACAAAGCTGTTACCACACTGCCCCTGCAAGCTGACATACATGGATGGCTCTTTATTAGTAGTACAAGTAGTATTTTTTGAGTTTTTGAAACAGGGTCTTCTCTCTGTAACCCAGGCTAGTCTGGAACTCAGTATGTAGCCCCAGCTGGCTTTAAGTTCACTGTAATCCCCCTGCCCTTGCCTCCCAAGTGCTAGGTGAGCTACTATGCCCAGTTTTCTATAAATGTGCTATATAGCTAGAATTAAGGGGGGGGTTGGGGGGAGGAGTTCCTGTCTCAGGGCTGTGAAAGTAACTCTGTAGATTAAGGTTCCCCTAGTATCCACATGGTGGAAAGAGAGACCTCAAGTTGTTGGGCACATGTATGTACATATACACGTAGACATAAAGGTGCGCATGTGCGTGTACACACACACACACACACACACAAAATGTAATAAAAAAATATTATGGTGCACGCCTTTAATCCCAGCACCCAGGAGGCAGAGGCAGGTGGATTTCTGTGAGTTTGAAGTCAGCTTGATCTACAGAGTGAGTTTCAGGACAGCCAGAGCAACACAGTGAAACCCTATCTCAACAAAACAAAACTGGAAAAAACTGAGTTTTCCTGCACACATGTTTACACATTCATACAAGCACACTAAATAAATGCAATAAAAAAAAAAGAATCTTTTCTCAAGAGACTTGACTAATTAGAAGTAGGCATGAGAAGGCAGCATAGGATGAACTGGCTGTGGACAATTTACCTGTCTTCTGTGGTCCCACAATGAGGAACTTGGGGAGTCGATCACACGTTTTCTCCTTGGACCAGATATCTTTGTGCCTCTTGTCATCACAGGGATTCTGAAGGTTAGGCCACGAGTCTGATGAGGACTAATCTTGTGACCCTTGACCCCCATCACATCTCTGTCAGTGTGAGCTCCATCCTTACCTGCCAAAGGGGGTTTCGCTCCTGAGGGAAAAGTTCAAAGTATTTTCGTGCAAGGGGGACAGGAGGAAGGGTCTGGAGACGCAGTCGTGTCCAGCACTGGAGGAAGCGCACCAGGCTCTCAAAGGTGTACAGGCCCAGTCGGTCATTTCCGTAGTTGGACAGGTGTGTCATAAAGACGCTGATCTACAAGAGGGTCCCTCATGTGAGACTCAGCCACCCTATCCCATAATCAGCTTTGGTGAGCGAGACCCTGGCTTGAGAAGTTTGGCTCTCCAGTCTTCTGGTTCCCTTTTGGTACCTTACCGGATTAAGTAGCACTGTCAGAAAGAGTTCTCCACCTCGGATGCTCCGATCTAGTTCACGAGAACCTCCAGGATACTCGTTGTAGAAGATCGTATGGGTGAAGAGGCCACATGTTTGCCGGGGAAGCACCTGAGAGGAAAAAAAAGTACAGTGACAGATGAGACACGAATGGTAAGATGGAGGGCAGATAAGGACCAAAGTCAGGAGGCATTGGCAATCCCTGGTTTTATAGAGGTTCAATAGAGGGTCAGTTTGAAGTTACAGTAACAAAATTTATTATCTGCATTATCAAGATATTTATGCCCTATTTTGTGGATGCCTTGGGCTGGCAGATGACAAGCCACATGTCCAGGCCAGTTAGAGGCCTGTCTAAATTTCAGAGTTTGATTGAAATTAGTAGTGGGAATCCCTCACCATGATGCCATTGTGAATGAAGCCACGGCGGTAGCGGGCAGGACGGAGATGAGGATACTCCTCGGTGCTGGTCACCTGGATGCCCCATACAGATTTCCAGGCCTCATAGAGCTGCGTGTGGATGGGGTACACGCCGGAGTGGTGGGGGGCCACAGCATACCCCAGATCCGTAGGAATCCCATGCTCCTGGGAATGGCATAGACTCTCACCAGGACCTGGTGAAGTTTGGGGAGTAGAGGGTAAAGAGGGTGGGGTGCCTCCACAGAAAGGAAACTGGAAAGGGTGGGAAAGGGTGTACATTAGGGAGGGTTAAAAAAGAAACATTATCTCTGGGAGAAAGTATGAGAAAGAGATTCAAGAGTCTCACCAAAGCAAACTGTTTGTTGAGCCTCATCTGGTCGGCCAGCACAGAGCGGTTGTGGAAGAGGTGTGGCTGCATGTGGCTCCACATGTGAGGAAACCACCAGAATTCTTTGCGGTGCTTCAGCAGCATGTCGTCCCCTGCGTCCTCCTCTTCTGTCCCTAGGATCACACACTGACTGCTGACCACAGTCAGCCCCTATGCCTTTGTTTTGTAGAAACACTGGCAGTCTTCCATCCTTTGGACATTACCGATCCCTGCCCATGGCCAAGGCTTTCTGTTTGCCGCCCATGTCAATCCACGTCTGCCCTAAACTTTGTCCCTTTCTCCAACGTGTGTGTCCAGGGTCAATACTAAAGAGAAAGAACAGGAAATGAGCTCACCAGTATGGTAGAACTTGCCCGAGAAGCCCAGGTTGAAGGTGAAGTTGGGGACTAAGGTCCTGAGTTTGCTCTGGGTGGTCAGCAGAGCCTAGAAAGAATAGTAAAGAAATGCCAAATCAGGAGACAACATACTGACTGAGAAATATACAGTAAGTAGATGTCTTTCCAACTATAAAAGGCAGAGAATCTATCTATGACCAGCTCAGAATCAAAGCAGGGAATCTGACAGACAGAGCTTGCAAATTTTCTAGCAAAATACACAGAAGAGGAGAAAAAAAAAAAACTGACCTCAACATCAGCCACCTTCATGCGAGTACCTTCTTTGCCCACAAAGATGTCATCAATGTCTACTAAGATGTAACGGTCAAGGTCCAGGCAGAGGCGCTTCCCAGTGAGGTATGCAACAGCATCAACGAAGACAAGCTTATGGAGCCAGAAGGAAAGGCCGTGTCCAAACAGCACCCGCTGTATGCCATCATGAAGCCCCAAGTCCTGTACCACAGTTGGGAGCCGGGCCCGCCCGAGCCCTGGTCCTGGCACAGGGAGCTCAGCTGTCCGATGGCTGGCAAGCAGCACGGGTTCATAGGTGCTATGATTGGACTGGAAGATGGTCCAGTCATCACCAGGCAGCGGTCCTGGCTCCAAGCGGCTGGGGCGGGTAAGATGTAGTAGTGGGGCAGAAGGATTCACTTGGTAGTCACGGAGCCCCAAATTTGAGTGTAGAAAAAGGGGAAAGCCCTTAAGCTGGGCACTCAATAGGCTATGCTCATGGGCTCGGAAAAAGCCAATGATGCCCACACCGTACTCCACACAGTACCGGTCTAGCAGCTCTCGGCTCCAGGAGTCCAGGTTAACATACTTCAGAAGGTTCTCATAGATGACCAACACATAGCGGCCATGGCTGTCATCAGTCAACGTGGGCATGTCCCCTCGGCCAGGTGCTAGTTCAGTGCTATAACGAAAACGACTAGACTCCAAAATGGCCACAATCTCCTGCCCCAATTGTGAGTATGCACTTTCCACAAACACAAGAACCACGGGTTCTGTTCGGGTTGTTTCTGGAGGCCTAGGGGAGCGAGGTGGGACTGGCGGTCGTGCAGGGCCGGCTGCCCCACTGCTACCACAGTCTCCCAAGGGCAGAGGCAAGGGTTCCTTGGCCTTGGGGCTGGTGGACACATAATAAGCCAGGAATCCCATGGAGACAAGACTGAAACCAATCAGCAGCAGTATGAGGCGGTGCAGTTCCAGCTGCCGAGCAGGGCGTACCACCTTCCAAAGCTGGAGCATGGCGAGGAGTGAGGAAGCAATGGGGACCTCAGGAGATGGGAGGGAGGAGTTCTGTGGGCCGGAATGGTCTTGATAGGGCAGAAGAACAGAAAAATAAGAGAAAGGAATTCTCTTAGGGTCAGTGACCCATGAGATGGGAACAAATTCTTTCAGTACAGGATAGGAGAGGCAGAAGGAGCAACAGGTTGCACTGGACAGAATCTACTGGTCTCAGGTCACCATGGCCCCTGGCCCATGCCTCAGGCTGAAACTTGAGCTTCCTCAGCTCTGCTGGTGGTTCTTCCATCAGAAATCAGCTAAGTCCAGAAGAGTGGCCCCCACAATCTGTAAGGCAGAGAAATCAGTACATTACTTCTCCCTTTGAAAGTCGGTTACTAACCCATTCTACTTATCCCATCTCTTACCCCACGCTCTTCTATGCAGGCACACGCCTGGACACACATGTTTGGGACAGTCTCTCACTGGACCTGGAGCTCTCGGTTCCAGTTAGAAGGAATGGCTGGCTAGCAAATCTGTCTGCTTGTTTTCACTTTCCCAGGCTGAGATGTGCACCACCAGACTTTAGTACTGGGAATCTAAACCCAGAGCCTCACACTTGCTCAGCAAGTACTTCACCCTCTGAGCCATCTCCCCAGCCCAGACGGTTTGCTCTATAGAAGAATACAAGGTGAATCCCATACCTTGGCTTCATAGCTCGTTCTTTCTTAGAATACACAAATAAATGTCCAAATTCTCTTTTATGTCCAAGCTGGGTCAGCAACACAGGTTATGAAAGAGCCTATCCAGAGAGACCAAACAGCCAGGAGGGTGACTGGAGGTCTGTGAGCAGTCTGCCAGTGAGCAGGAGCACTGTGGGCTCTCTACAGCACATCTCAGAGGCCTCATAACTCAATCAGACATCAGATAGGAGAAATCTCCTGAGTCTTAATCTTCTACATCAATCACACCCGTCATCACCCCCAACGGTACTAACGAACTTGCAGTCATGTGGCCCCTGTGGTGGAGGAACTTGAGAAATGGCAAGAGTTAATAATTCTATTAGTGTCTGAGTCCAGAACTTGGGAGACTTTCCTTGGCACTACCTGTAAAAAATTACCCATACCCTTCTCTTCCCCTATGCCAGAATCAGGGGAGAGGATAAAACGAAAAGCCGGAAAGCAAAGTGCAGACTCTATGCACTTCTCCTTCCTGAACTAACCACATCCTCCCTCCACAACAGCACAGGAGCATCCCTAAGGATGGAAGAAAATGAGGAATTGAGTCCAGCTATAGCAAGTGGATGGAGGGCAGATGATCAGAAGACAGTTTTAAGGGAATCTCACTTGACGGCTTCTTTTCCCATAGACCACTGCAGATTTCCATTCATTTTATCTGAGCCACTCCCAGGGAGGTCAGCAGCTGGCAATCCCTCTCCACTGCCACTCCACACACCTCAGCGGGGACAGGCAGAGACAGGCTCTTTCAGAATCCAGAGAGATAGATGGTTTATTTAGAGCTCGGCTTTGGCCTGGGTAAAACTAAATGACATAACTGAGCTGGGAGACAGAATAAAAACCGTGATGGGGGCTGGAGAGATGGCTCAGAGGTTAAGAGCACTGCTGTTCTTCCAGAGGTCCTGGGTTCAATTCCCAGCAACCACAAAGTGGCTCACAACCATCCATGATGATATCTGGTGCCCTCTTCTGGTGTGTGTATACATAGTAATAATAAAACAAACAACAAACAAAACTGTGGTGGGGCTGGAGTCCTGGGTTAGTAGCAGAGCCCATGCCTTACCATGCCTGAAGTTCTAATGCAATGGCAGGGGAGGGGGTAGGAGTCAGAGAACAGGTGTAGATCATAGAAAGAGCTCAAGTCTTTCTTTTTTCCAAAACAGAATTTTTCTGTGTAACCCTGACTGTCCTAGAACTCACTCTATAGGTCAGGCTGGCCACAAACTCAGAGATCCTCCTGCCTCTGCTACCCAAGTGCTGGAATTAAAGGCGTGCGCCATCACCACCTGGCAGAACAGTTGTGAGAACTCAGGAGTGTGGCCTGTGTTGATAACGGTTATCTAGAGATATTCTGATTAGCAGGCATTCTGGGAGCTTTGCTCGTGTTCGCAGACCTAGATTTAAAATGGTTCCACTCTTACAATGTGCAAATGATAAACATTTAGTATAAAGGATACGTCATATCTTTTTGTGGTTTGGTTTCCAATGCTGGCAGTGGAACATATAGCCTTGAACAGGCTAGGCAAGTACTCTCCCTGCAGTTACAGCCCCAGGCCCTACAATTCTGGTCCTTTCCTAAGATAGTGGACTCACACAATGCTCTCCTTGTGATGTTAGACAGTTTAAGTTCCTCCCCAGCCACACAACTACAATGCTAAGCAACTGACATCATAGTGCAAAGGGCACTGATAGGCTACTGCGGTTAGTAGGTTAGGAGTACTACATGCATCTTTAATTTAGGACATTTTAAAGGTTTTTCAGGATGTAAATCAAGTGCACTTGTACTTAATACAAGTTCGAAGAGGCAGGGAAAATACACATAATAATACACACACACACACACACACACAATTTCAGGCCCAGAGAAGTTTAGTAACTTACCCAATATCACAAAGCTCCTTCAGTGGAGGAACTGGGATTCAAAGGTCAGGCCTGTCAAGTTCCTGTGTTGTAACAAACTGCATTTTAACTTCATATCTAGAAGAAGCAGTAAGATCTAGGGAGGGGGTCATGTGAGAACTGTTAGGGGTAATACAATGACGAACACTGGAGGAGAAACGTGTGTGGCAACGGAAAGTTTCTGAGGGAGAAAACCAAGGGTTGTCATCCACAGTGGACAGCAAACAGTCAGGGAGGGCGGGAGGTGGGCCCACCACTGGGAAAGAGCAGAGCCCACGCTGTGGGGGGGAAGGCAGACCGATTGGGGACCTGGCCTAGATGATAAAGGAACCCTCCTGCGGGAACTAAGAGCTCACCAAAGAAATGAGGAGCCCACAGGTGGGGGAGCTGGAGGGGAAGGGGCAGGAGCGCGGCCGAGAGTTGACACCAAGCAGGAACCGGCTGAAAGAGCCTGGTAGTGACCCGGGCGAAGCAACCGGAATGGGGCAACTGAGGGGAGGCCAGCGGCCGGGACATAAGGCAGGGGCGCAGAGGGCCGGATGAGGGGCCGCCAGGACGACCCTGCGGGTGGTTACAGTGGCGACACTCACGGGGAAAACTGGGGGTGACCGCGGACGGGAGGCTGCTCTCAAGGATGGCTCACCCTGTGGAGTGGGCGGCGTCCCCGCTGTCCCCGGGCCCCGCTGCGTCCCGGGGCCGCCGGGCTTCCCTGCTCGCGGGGCCTCGGGCCGCGTCGCGGCGACTCCGCCATCTCCGAGCGAACGCTCCGCCGCAGCCGGGCCCAACTACCGCTTCCACCAGGGGGAGGCGGCGCGCTGCGGCTCGTGGCGCCGGCTCGGGCCCGCGCGCTCTCTGAGCGTGGCCGCCGCGCGACCGGGGACTGGGAGAACCCGACGGCCCACCGCCGTGCCCGGCAGAGCCGCAGCCCCGCAGCCCCCCGGCCTCGCGCTCGGGCCACCGACGCGGACCCCCTCCTCCACGTCGGGTGGCACAGTCTGCAGAGCGTCGGGGCGGGCCCAAGGCCCAGGCCCGTCCACTCAGCCCCGCGAGGGGGGGGGGGGGAGGGAGCCGTGCAGAGGGTGGGGCCACCTCCCACGGGGGCGGAGCGAAGGCACAGGCCTCCGCTTAAGAACACACTTCCTCCCGGCAGACAGACTCAGCAGCTCTGGCTGAGTTTATACCAAGTTTTCTTCTTCAGGCCCCAAGGGAATGGGAAAAGATGTTTGTCTTCTCCTGAAGCCCTGTCACGAAAGTTCCGCGAGCCTCCAACAGAAAGAACACAGCGGACTGTTTAAAGGTTATTTTATTAAATATCTTCAAGGTTTCATTGTAACAAAGCTATGAAGGGACTACCAACATTCAGAACAAACACTAATTTTTAAATTATTTCTAAGTCATCATGCAAAAGTTCTGCATCAAATGCCTTCCAATTCCTGTTTAAAAGGTGTTTTTTTTTTTTTAATAGTCTATTAATAGTCTATAGATGCTGACATTAGCCCCAGAAGTGGAGTAAGAATGCTAAGGAGTGGGGCTGGAGCAGCCGTATGAAGCTATGGGTCTCAATGAGCTCTAAGACCAATTGTTGTCTTCAAGCCAGCAAAACCAAACCCTGTGGTGAAGTATCTGTGGGCTGGCACGCAGGCTGCAGGGCAGGAAGGGACTAGGGTCCAGGGTCTGAGGCATGCAGAAGGTGCTTGAGGAGCCTGGCTAAATTCAAGCACCAGCACCCATGAATTTGTTCTCCTCTCAGCTGGTTCCAAAGCCTGTAGTTCTTTTCCCCAGCTCCTGTGTCTCCTGAAATCCACTTCCCCTTCCCCCAGTGCAGATGCTATGCAGTTGTTTGATGGGGGAACCAAGACCAGGCCAACTGCTCCTCCTTTATCTTCTGTTAATCTGCTTAGGGTACAGATCTTCCTGGAATGGAACTCCTTGAGCACAGAGGGACAATGAATGTAGAAGCCTTGGCTCTGGACCCCTTTTCTGGGTACATGCAGGTGAGGGGGTGATGCCCATGCAGATTGTCCAGCAGAAAGTCTATACTTCAGTTGGTCAGTCAAGAGGCCTCTTTAAAGAGGACACTCCTCACTCAAGCAGACAGTTCAAACTCAAACACAGGGAGAGAGATGGACGTGCAGCATGGGAAGCAGCCCGGAGGGCAGCCAGAATGCATAGAAACAACCACCAACTCTTATCCCACTGCCTCACTCCTCCCATCCCACAGGGGCACTTGGCAGAGGGACCACCATGAAAATGCAAGACAAAGATGGTCCAGATCAGCACAGAAATAGAACTGCCGAAAGTGGCAAAAGGAGCCCTGGCCAAGGTCTACATCCCTCCTTGCTAAGTTAGGAAAACCAACAGGAAGCAAAGTAGCAACCCCCTCCTTCCCCTTCCCATCCACAGAAAACAGGCTTCGGCATCAGGGCCCACGTGCATTGTGCATCCAAGAGATATGGATGAGTGAGTGCATGTCAGACTAACACGAGGTTTCTCATCAGCTTCATGGCGGATACACGTTTGCAGCACCAATTCTCTTTCTGCCTACATTAACTCGAACAGCACAGCAAAGTCCAGGCCTCCAGTCCTAAGGCCACTGGTTCTCAGCTGCCTCCACAGCAGATGGGCTGGGAGCGCGCATTCTCTCCCAAGTAGGTCTGACAGCCACGGCATTTTCTTCCATCTCCTTCTAGGTGTCGATGCGTGTTCTGAAGAAGTCCACTTCTAGACCTGGGGTAATCAGGCCACCTCTGGGGCTGCAACCACACCATGGCTTCCAAAGCTCTGTCAAGAGTCCTTGCCTGGTCCCCCTGAGTCCACGGGGGCCTGAGTCCAAGCTCACCTCTTCAAAGCTGGTGGGTGAGCCCACTGTCCATGCCTGGATGAGTCACACAAACTCCTGCCTTTTTGCAAGCCCAAGGGCTATCAGTTGTTTTAAAATGCATCACGGTACGAATCCCATTTTTTTTTTTAAACAATCTTTTTTTCTTAAATGTAAAAAACACCTCGGTACAGCAGAGACAGACACGAAGGGCGGGCGGGAGGGCTGCATGCAGGGGCGTGCATTGGCTGCTGCCGCTTTGTAATTGAATTGTTTTAAACCTCAAACGAACAGGACTGCCGCTGTCACTCAGGCCCCCCAGAGTCACTGGCTGCGAAGGTTCAACCTCCAGCTGGAATCTCCTGATGCCCCTGTTGAAACAGAGGGTGGCAGCAGAACAGAGGACGATGAGAACACAGAAAAAATCCCTGGGATTTTAGTACAATACACACATGGCTAAATCCACTTGAACAAGCAAAGAAAGGAGAAGCCAACATTTGCTTTACAGCATTGCCTCCATTGGAGTGTTTTACATGCTTTACTATAGTATCGTACTTGATCTTCACAATTAATTCATCATGGACCGGAGGTAGGTACCACTTTCTCCCTCTGTTGGTAACTAAAGAGACTGAGGGCTTAGCAAGAGGAAGACTGCATACACCAAGTTTGGGGTCTGTCTGGTTACAGAGCAAAGCCCAGTCTTTGCCACCCCTCCCCTGCCCAGTCCCTTCTCCCCACCAGGTGTACCTGTGGCTGAGTTCACTGCAGTGGTGCGGCAGGGGCCCCTGAGCAGTGATAGTGAACATTGAGCCACTTGCCATCTCGGCGGTGCCACACCCGGGTCTCCTCCGACTGGCTGGTGCGAGGTCGACCCTGCCCGTCGATGTACTGGGTGAGCCGGATATAGGCGATGCAGGCTGCGTCCTCCCCAATCACGTGGACGTGCGGGTTTAGGATGGTGGTATGGATGGGCTTGCTGTTCTTGGACAGGACTGCAGGGGGCAGGGCAGGGAAGTGGAGGTGGTAGGCATAAGGCTTGGGCAGTCATATATTCCTGCCAGGCTGCACCCTCTTTACTGTAGCTCCAGCAGCCATTCCTAGAATCCCCAAGTGCCCCCTCATTGCCCCCAGAGGCCAAGATCCCTCACAATATGAGTTTTATCCGAAAGGAAGAGAAATGTGGGTAGTAACAATAGCAACTCCTCTTTTCATTAGGTAGTGTGCTGAGGCTTTACATGCAAGACATGGGTTTGTTCACTGCTATTATTTTCTTTAAGGAAAAAGACTCAAATCAAAGAAAATATTTAAACTCAGGACCATAAGGCTCTAATAAAAGCCTGTGGTTTTCTACTTGGTTAGGCTGATGTTTAAAAGTTCTAAGCTCGCTTTGCCCCGTCTAAGGCTGAAGAGAAAAATCATGAAAGCAATACATTCAAAGTCATTTTGTGACTTAAAAAGAAAAGGCATATCAAAGTTTAAAATCCCTAAAGTACCCAGTTCAGGATCTCCCCCAAACTTCCAGGGTTCTCTGGGTTTGGAAAAGCAAAGGGAGCTGGACACCATTATCAGCATACAGTGTGCTTATGGTGAAGCTTCCATTCGGACTTGCTTAAGTTCATTCCAGTGCTACAGAAGCTGCAAGAGCCCTCCCTTAGAACCAATATAAACACTGCTTCTGGCTTATATACTAGATAGCTTAGATAGCTAGGGCATTAGGCAGGCAGCTAAGGTGTGGAGAAATCACAGGAGGAGAGTCAGTGAGGAAAATAGCTACAATGTAACACTCAGGGTAGAATAAGAGCCGCCTAGAATAAAGTGGACAAGAGGAAGGAAAAATGAAGAATGAGGGTCTTGGAAAGTAGAGAAAGAGATTGAGAGTGTGATGATTCAGTTCTGGGACCTCTGGCAACTGTTCAGACTATAAATCTCTCCCATCCAGATGCCTGGCTCCCGCAGTGTCCAGGGTAGTCCAGCCACAGCTTCTGACCTCACAAATCACCATTAGTGCTTTGTTACTTGCTTATACGGTTTTGTCCTGCTTTTACTTCCTTTACTGTGAGTCCTGCAGACACAGACCTCTCATCATTACTTGCTGAGATCATCTAGACTTAGTCTTGAAGGGTTTATAGTCTGTCTCAGAGAAAAGTGATGCTTAGAGGGATACAACAACCCTAACCCCTAATGGTGAAGATCAACAGGGCCTTGATACAGTTGCCAAATGAATGGGCACTCGTCTTTTAAAAGAGCAGGACACAGGGGGTGAGCATACAGAGCGGGATGCAGCAGGAAGGCCAGATAAGGTGGAGATGGGCAACTAGGGGGAAGGGTGGGTAGGGACAGAGGCGGGGACAGAGGGGCAGGCAGGAGTATATCAGCAGCACGAACCCACTCACGATTCTCAAAGTAAAACTTATGGAAATCCATCCCCTCCACGAGGTTACCAAGGGCTTCTGGCTCAAAGGAAGTGAGGCCCGGGTCACAAATCTTCCTGCAGAAAAGAGGGCCAGGGGTGGGGTGGGGGGCAAAAACAGCCTGTCAGGCCTCAATGGGAATTATGTGCCTTCTTCATCAGTGTGTCTGTCCCACAGAAGGTTAGCTAGTGGCTACACCAGACAAGACAACACTCCTCAGGGTTAGCCTTACAGAGCCACTCAGCTGTCCTGCTCTTTCTCCCATGTCAGGATAATAGGGCAGGCTCGGCTATGGGGGTCCTATGGGCTTAGGGCTCAGATATGGCCCTGTTCCCAGGAACATCGACACTTTTTGGAAAATAGAGGCGGACTTGGGAGACGAGCCATCTCAGGGCAATGGGTCTTTACTCACGTGTAGGCCTCAAAGTCTCCGTTGTTGATGGCTTCGATCAGTTGTTCTGTGATCTTAATGATCTCCTGTTTTCGCACTGTTAGGGAGAAAAATCCACTAATTTACCTGTTGGGCAACTTCCCAAGGGACAAGAGAGCCCTCCTCCGTCCTTCAGGGATCCCTTATGGCCTCTTTGTCAAAGATATCCTCCTCCTGTCTTTTAATGCCCTGTGCAAGAGGAACAAGCTGTTCTCTGCCTCTAACCACTTACTTCTCTCACCAGGGGCTCAGTCAGGTCGCAGTTACTACCCCCTTGTAGCCCTTACTCAGCAGTCCAGAACTTAGCCTTGGACCCCTGCCTGAGAGCAAAATCGAGCTAGAGATGAAGTTCAAAAGGATGAACAGAGTGTGGGTGGATGCTCTCTATACACCACTGTCTTCCACGGGGATTTCCTGGGATAAAGGATCTCAGACCTGTGAAAACTTTTGACAGCTTCTCAAGTGAGAGATGGCTACACTGCCCTTGGCTAAGCTTCAGAAAAACTGGAGAACTACACCTATGGAAGACCAACAAAAGACTGGGAGGCAGGCAGTTTGGTGCCCTCCTTCCCTACCCAAGGGGCACATGGTGATACCCTGCTCTCTGGGGTAGCTCACTTACAGACAGAGCCACTATTAGCAGGGGGTGTCTCTAGCGTAAGGGCGAGCTTGGACTGAGATCAGGCTAACCCTGACTGTAACTGGAGCCCCAGGCTGGTCCAGGCCACAAGCCTTTCCTCACAGGCGCAAGAGGCTGCAAGACAGACAAATGCGAGCATTAGAACAGTCCCAGCATGGCACAGCTGGGCACAGCTGGGCCAGCACAGCCAAGGGGAGTATTTGGAAGGGGATGGCATAGCTGAAGGTGCAGCCAGGAGGGACTCCACAGAGCACTGATAGGTGGGCAGCCCTGACTGAGCAGCAGAGGCTTTA